GATTATCTTTCAAAACTTTCTGATGAGCTGGCGCAGATATTTTACTTTTGCACTCTTGTTCCGTTATTCTCTCTGACAGTACAAAGCAACAGACTTCGTGGTGGATCAACCAGGAAAATTCAAGATCGTGTTCTCTCCCTCAGATGGGAGCAAAGCGAAGGAATGGGAGGTGTTTGACTTCCCTGGTGGGGGCTGCGGCATGGGGATGTACAACACTGATGAGGCAAGTGTGTGTGTGTGTGTGTGAGCAGAGAGTAACGGTACCTTCCCTTTGGAATAGACTAACAGTGAATGGCAGCTTTGGCCAAATTTAACAAGCAGAACCCTTACTTCTGGGATCAGCTTTGCTGAGAACTTGTCAGACCCAAACAAGCAAAGATGAAATATGATTTTTATAGGAATGTCAAGCAGTTTGTTTGCTTAAGTCTTGCCTGTGGTTATTCAAAATGATTATTGTCTGGTTGCAAAATGGTAATATGATGATCTGAAGCAGTGAAACCTTTAGATTAGTGGAATGACATCACAATGTTTTTCATTCTGTTATTGCCATAGATAGATTTAATATTCAATGATAGATTTAATAATGAATTAAAAACATGATGTGGCCTTTCTAATTGGTGAATGAGTGAAGTCGACAAAATCCCTCGTCCTCCACTATGGAAAATTATCTCCATTATTTTAGTAGTTATGGCTTTAGCTTTGGTGCTGCAAACTTTGAATATTGATGAATTGTAAATATTAGTCAGTAACTGCAATGAATATCTGCCATTATGATGTGTTAAGTGACACAGCATGCAACTCCAAGTGTAAGCTTCAGTGTACTTTGTAACTTTTCATTTTGTTGGTTAGATTGCTGTTCAGCTGCCTTTTTCTTCTGGACAGATTCATGGTAGTTCACGTTCTGCTCCTGGTGGTAGGAGTCTACACCAGCTAAGCCTGAGTCTGATCTAAAAATCAAAACAGTCTCAAAAGTCTGTGAGGCAGAGTTTAGGAGACTGAATGGTCCACGGAGTGTAGACGGGTGTCTTCACAACTACAAGGCTGTGATGGCCGCAAACATATATACGTTATGTTTGTTCAGGAAGTTTGTTTTTAGGAAACAATATTAAGCATACGTGTTTCAATCTGAGCACGTGACTTTGAATTTTGCAATACCAGTAATGCCTCTGATGTCTAAAACCTGCCAGAATGCAATAAAGAACATTGTTCTCGCTTTTAAATATTTTGATGGGGTGGTTAGGAGGGGGTGGGGGGCAGGGCAGTAGACCCCGCTGCACAGGGTGTGGCGTGCCTGTTTGTTTTGGCACTGGGGGTCGACCCTTTGGTTTGTGCAACCAGAGGTTGTCATGATATCTGTTAGTTTAAAGTCATGGCACACCAAGTCCTCAGGGGCTTTTTCCTAGTCACTCAGGTGCTTGTACTGGGCATGCTCCAAACTGAAAGTAAATGCTACCTTATCCCCTCCCCCCTTTGTCTGTCTGGCAATGGTGATGTGAATTGTATGCGCCTTTTGTCTGCTTTCATTCTGCTCCGCCTGTGTGTGAACATGCTCTGAGTGAGACCTCTTGTGCCCCCTACAGTCCATCACTGGCTTTGCACACAGCTGTTTCCAGTATGCAATTCAGAAGAAGTGGCCCCTCTACATGAGCACGAAGAACACCATCCTGAAGGCCTACGATGGTCGCTTTAAGGACATCTTCCAGGACATCTTTGAGAAGTGAGTTCCTTGAATATATTCTGGAGCAGATAAAAGGAAGGGAGAAAAGACTGAATCACTATCTCTGGCCAGCTTAGGCAGAATGAGTTGACTAGGCGACCCTATTGACTTATCAGTTGCATTTTAAGTAAAAATTAATTTAATTTTTTTTTTCTGCCGTCAGGAACTACAAGGCTGATTTTGACAAGCTGAAGATCTGGTATGAGCATCGGCTCATTGACGACATGGTGGCCCAGGTGCTGAAGTCCTCTGGGGCCTTTGTGTGGGCCTGCAAGAACTATGATGGAGATGTGCAGTCAGACATCCTAGCTCAGGGTGAGCAAGGGTGACTCACACACCCCTTTCCGTGAAAGGCATTGTGTAAACGATCACTTCCCCGCAGGGCAATGGTCTTTTAGATGTTATCTGCCCCTGCTGTTTTGCTGCCTTGTGGGAAATGTCTACTAGGATTGCTAGCTTAGGGGTGACATGGTGGTGCAGTGATTAGCTCCGCCCCGGCTCCACGTGTGTGTGGAATTTGCATGTTCTCACTGTGGTGTTGTGGGGTTTCATCCAGGTACTCTGCTTCCCCCCCCAGTCCAAAAACATGCTGAGGTTAACTGGAGTTACTAAATTCTTGTGTGTGCATGAATGATGTGCCCCCCCCTATGGGGGGGGGGGCACCCCATCCTGGCTTATTCTTTGCATCATCCCCATAGAGTTGGAGTTATGAATATAGAACAAGCAGTTCAGAAAATGGATGGATGTCTAACTAAGTGGTTGGAGAGCTAAATTCAGAGGAACTGGACTTTACTCCTTATTTTTATGTATATAGATTCATCTTCATTACTGTAAATATTTTATTTGGGGGAAAAAAATCAGTCAGGATAATGCCCAAAATAAGTGCTTTTTTTCGGGCCTTTAAAGTCATTTACCTGAGCCACAGAGAAGCCAGTTAGCATGGGATCAGCACCTGGAGCATCCAGTGAGAAGCCATCCTAGCTGAGAAATATGCCCGAGACTGTAGGGTTAACCTCCTGTGGTCCTCTGATGCACACGGCCTGTCCCTGCAGGCTTCGGCTCCCTGGGCCTGATGACCTCAGTGCTGGTGTGTCCCGACGGGAAGACCATCGAGGCGGAGGCTGCTCACGGCACAGTGACCCGGCATTACCGCGAGCACCAGAAGGTGAGGGATACGCACACATTCTTTACGACTTTCACCAAAGGCTGCAGAACAGGAGGTGCGGCCTTCACACACCAAGGCTTCCAGTAGTTGCTAGAAGAGGATGTAGTATCAGAGAGTCAATCGTGCCTGAAGAACATGACTCTGGATTTGTCTCTCATGCTTCTTGTGAGTCATCATCATGGCCATATTCCCAGTGATTAAACAAACGTATTCTCCCCGCCAATCACTTAACCTGAAAAAGCCACGCAAACCATTCAAACAAACAGGGACATATTAAGTGCAGGGCAATTGTGGCGTCGCCAGGCGTGATCCTGAGGAGGTTCCCCATGTGGTGGGTGTGGCAACAGGGTGTTATCAGCGCATGCTCCCCAACCTGACCTGACCTGCAGGGCACACCATATAACATACAAACTTCCCCGGCCTGGATTAAACACCCTGCCACCTAAGGTCTTCTGAGGACCTGAACTGTAAACAAACACACAGGTTTGTAATGGAACCTCATGATGTCCTGCTGTCCTTCAGGGCAGACCAACCAGCACCAACCCCATCGCCAGCATCTTCGCCTGGACCAGGGGGCTGGAGCATCGTGGCAAGCTGGACGGAAACACTGACCTGATCAAGTTAGTGGACACTTTCGACTGAGCTAATGACATTTCAGGCTTGAGCTTGTTCTGGGGTATAATATTATAACATAAACCTTGAGTACAATTTGGCTTGTCAGGTTTAAAGATTGCCACAGCAGTTACATGACTCGTACAGGCATGCTGCGTACGTTCAGCTTTTACATATTAGTGAATAAATAGTCATTTTAAAAAGGAGACCTCAGAGTGGAAAGACCAGCAAACACATTACAGTGCAGCGCATGAATGAAATCTCAGTTCATTTGATTCCTGCTGTTGAGGAAGAGTTAACTGGAGACAGTGAAGCTCCTTGACGTTGCATTTGATGTGGATGAGTCGTCGTCCTCCCGTTTGGACTCATGGTCTACTGTGTCTTGCATAGGTTCTCTCAGACCCTGGAGAAGGTGTGTGTTGTGACTGTGGAGAGTGGAGTTATGACCAAGGACCTTGCTGGATGCATCCATGGCCTCGCTAAGTAAGTCTTAAGCCAAACGTGTGAGAGACAAATGCAAGTAGAATGTGGTCACATGCACATTGCTATTGTGTGGTTGGGAGAACGGAGTCAAAACCCACTCTGGACTGTGCTATCAGTCACTGACTAGTGTAAGTCAAACAGAACTGCCTTAAAATGGCCAGTAACTGCACACATCCTCCCACCAAATCTGCCGGCACCATCGAAACTGAGCCTTGGCTTTGTACAAACTAGGGCCGAGACCATATAGAAGCTGCTTAAGTTAAGAGGCTTTAGCGCTGCACTGCAGTTCCAGAGGATTACCCAGTTTATTTGCAGGTATTCATATTAGCTCTGCTAAGGTGGCATTTGGATACCACAGCAGCATCTTTCCCACATCAAGGTCATACAGTAGACTTTGGCAGAAAGGGCCGATATGTTTTTATTCTACAAGCTGAAGTGTTTTGAAGTACATTTAGCATATGCCAAAGCAGAATGTGAGTGCTGCACTGGCCTGAAGAGGAATGTCTGAAGTCCTTCATGGTCGGCGGCATGTTCAAAGGCGTTTGCTTACACTGCGTCCTGCCCTCTGCCTTCCTCCTCGCAGCTGCAAGCTCAATGAGCACTACGTCAATACTACAGACTTCCTGGATGCCATCAAGACCAACCTGGACAAGGCCCTCGGGAAGTGAAGAGGAGCAGGGAGGCTGTGGGCCGGAGGATGATGGACTGTCGCTATCCTTTTGTTTTGTACCTCATTTTTAAGCATTAAAAGGTCATAGAAACCAACTCCATCTGCCTGATGGGAAGGTTAGTTTGAGTATGGAAAGCCTTGAGGTGCCATGTAGCAACTGTACGATGTGATGTTCACTTACACCTCTGCCTCGCAACCTCCCAGGGTATATTTTTGTAATATGAAGTACTGTACTCCAATATTGTATGTAATTTAATATCTCGCCACAACAAACTTGAAGGGCCATGACAAGCTAGACAAATAAAACATTCATGACTTTGTCTGACTCTTACTGCTCATCAAACAACACAGTGTTGAAAGGCAAATAAATGTATTATTTACAGTGTTGTCAGGTTCACAACGTGGTACAAGTAACTATTCGTAGTATATTCACATCACTGTGCAACAGAACTGTCACAAGTCCGACTTGGTGTTCAACAGTGCTGGCCCAGAAGTATGGGGGGTGGGGGGTGGATTCTGACTGGCAGGCGTACAGAATATAAAAAAGGGCAGGGGTGTGATGATAATTTGACTTCTTGCCCCCTTGACGCATAGGCTGGAACCAGGAGGAGCAGCCTGGATGGGGACTGGCTGTTTTTGCAGTTAGCTTTTGGCTGGGGGGGGGGGTCCCTGGCTGGAGCAGGAACCCCTCAGAGAGGAGCAGGGCCTTCAGTAGTGTTCACAGGTAAACAGCACAGCCGTAATCTGTCTTGTTTTTTAATATACACAACTCAACCGGACTGGCAGAACTCTTTGGTTAGTTGTATACATGCGTAAAGAGCCACCTGTGATGAGAGGGTCTCATTCTCCCAGTGTGAGCAGACACAGTGCAGCTAACAGCCTTTGGCATGAGCTCTGCAGCAGTCAGGTTTCTTTGGTCCGCGGGGGCCAGCCGGCCTTACGGCCAGGCCCCGGAGCTGAGGTAACGCTTGGTGACAGGACGCAGCGACCGGAGGTGTCAGTGGTGTGTGACAGCAGGCAGAGCAGCCAGTGCCCAAGGCGAGTTTCCACAAGCTTCATATAATGACATCATTTACATTCCAGATCCGGGGGACCACGGTATATGAGAAAACAGGAGCTGGAGAGTTAGAATCACCTCAGTCACGCTGTGATGTTCAGACACTGGCAGAATGGGGTGGGTGGGTTGTCACAACCCCTCAGATGAGCAGTTAGCAGGCTGCATCACGATGAGCAGAAGAATCTTAATCTGCTTCACTTGGGGGGTGGCTGTGAGCTCCACGCCCTTACTCAGCTAGGGCCCCCTCAGTGCTGAGAGAAGGGACGCTCCTTATAAGTATTTATCCGTATGGTTAGCCTCGAACAGACGTTTGCTTGGCAAACTGCCATTCACAGTCGAAACACAAATATTCCTTAACATGTCCTTCTGGTACGTGCAAAACTTTCTCCTTTTTGGTATTAGAGGTTATTACAAACATTACAATCAAACTTCAACTGAAAATCCAGGTGGGAAGAGAGAGAGAAAAAAAAAAAGCGCCCCCCCCCATCTGTATTCTTGAAATTATCAGGGACGTCAGATACTGACAGGATCCAAACAGTAGGAATGGAGATAGATTTCACAACTGAGTACCTCCAACTATTAACGGCACAACTCAAACATTAAAGCATCTAATAATCTCCGGAACTGTGGAACACGAGCCTCCATGCAGCAACGTGTCGGTCGAGTGTGGGGACACCAGCCTCTGTGCATGGGAAGCCGGTCCGTTTTCTCCCAATCAGACGTGCTTCCATCTGGGGGATTAAGCTAACGGGCTCACGGGCTAACAGGGCTCACACGCTCACCCACAAACGTGGCTTCAGTCACACTTTTGACGTGTGCAGAACCGCTATCCTGAGCGGCAGCGATGGATGGAGGTGTGCAATATGATGACAGGAGGACAGGGAGGATCACCGATTCTATGAGAAAGTGCAGCTTATTCAGCAGGACCTCATAAATGCTCCAGGCACCAACAAATTATGGAGCCCTAAAGGGGGGGGGGAGGTTACCCATGACTCAGTAGTGGCCCCCTATTCCCACATCAGCAGCAGGTTCTTAGCCATTAGCAGTCATTGGGGGTGGGGGGGATGGGGGAGTCAAGCTCAGTGGATAAACTAACTTCACGTTGAGTTCACCACTCCTGCTCCATCTACGAAGCTTCTAGCACCTAGGTACACCCCCTGCCCCATTTCACAAGCTTGGCTCTTCCTGGTGACTGCTTAACACACAGAAGAAAGGAGGAGGAAAAAGAGAGAGAAAAGAAACTTCTCTGCTGGGCCAAATGAGACGAGTTCAGCCTTGCCGGAAGAGCATGTGAGATTCCCCCAAGCTGGAAACTCCTTCCCTGTTCCGCAAGTCATTTGAGTCGAGGACGTTCTCACGTTCATCTCCTGCGGCTTCCCAGCTCGCCCGGTGACCGCTGCCGCCACGCAGCCCTGACGCGGACTGCCAGCGCCCTCCCCGCTGGCCGGCTCACACGGTGCCATAGTGCTCGCCCTCCTTACTGAACGAGTAGTAGTCCATGTCGCGCAGGTGCTCCTCAGACAGCTTGCTGACGGCTGGGCCGCTGTGGCTCTCCAAGGTCTCCCTCTCAGGGAAGTCAAAATTCTCCTCCTCGTAGTCGTCCTGGGCGTCCATGTCAGGGAGGGGATCTGAGGGACGACATCGCAGCGTTTGGCTGTGAGCCTCGCAGGCTGCAGTAAGCCCCCCCCCCCAGCACTCATACACTCCCCAAGGTGAGTCTGACCTGTTTGCTTCACTGTTCTATCCCCAAAGTTGCTACAGTCTGTCTGGCACCTTTATACAGCGTGATCATCTTTACTGAAGTAATATTATATAATACCTCTGGGCTGTATGTATGCTTTTTTGCTCAGAAGTGCTTCTAGAACATTTTATTATAATATTCCACTGAAAAATAAGAGTATTATGTTTATCTGGTAAAACAACTACTTTCAAGACAGATAGTATCCCAAGTTGGCCAAGTATGTACATGAAGATTGAAATGACATGTATTTCAATAAATACCTTATATGATCTGCTGTTGGGACATTAGTAAGGCTACAAAAGTCACACCCATTTCCAGATTAAGGAATATGATGATAGAATTGAATCACCTATCCATCCATTTTCTGTAACCGCTTGTCCTACTCAGAGGGAGGGTCCAGAGCCGATCTCGGAGGCCACGGGTGCAAGGCGGGGAACAACCCAGGATGGGGCGCCAGACCATCGCAAGGCACACTCACACACACCATTCACTCACACATGCATATCTATGGGCAATCCAGCAACTTCGATAAACCTCAGCATGTTTTTGGACTGTGGGGGGAAACTGGAGTCCCCAGAAGAAACCCCACAGCGACATAAGGAGAGCATGCAAACAGCAAACACAGACACCACTGGCAGGGACTCAAATCCTGGTCCCAGAGGTAACCACTGCCACCACCGGGCCAAGGGTACTAACCACTGCCACCACCGGGCCAAGGGTGCTAACCACTGCCACCACCGGGCCAAGGGTACTAACCACTGCCACCTCCGGGCCGACGGTGCTAAGCACTGCCACCACTGGGCCAAGAGTGCTAACCACTGCCACCACCACGCCACTCCAGAACTAAATCACTTCATGTTAAATACTAAAATGTTCAGATATGAACTCTGGTCCCCCAGGGGTCCATTCCAGAAAGCTAAGGAACCATCTGAAGAACAGGAGAATCTGTCTGAACAAGTCAACCTTCTGTTCCTCAGTAAGAAACTGTAATACAGATTCAGGTGAGTCATACATAAAATACATTGTGTATAGAAAGGGTGTTAGGGAGCGGATATTTGGTTACAGCCCGGGGGAGCAAGTTCAGAAGATTCTCCTGCTCTAATTACTGTACCTGGAGAGAAGCAGCAGGATACATTTAACCTAGACAATGAGTTTATTAGATAATTAGACGGTTCAGGGGCCTACTGGGACTGAATCTGTACTCTCCCTCCAGGACATACTGGACAGTCCTGGGTTCTGAGTTCTGGGAGCAGCTGCCCAGCAGCACCAGCACGTACCTTGGCCCTCTGGAGAAGCGTCCATGATGCCATGTTTGACTTTCATATGCCTGCTGAGGTTCCCCTTCAGGTTGAACTTGCTGGAGCAGTAGGGGCATTTGAAGGGCTTGCTGCCTGCATGGAGATGCATGTGGCCTAGTAGGTTGTACATGCGGTTGAAGGACTTTGCGCAGACCTGTGGGGCCACAACAGCAGCTCAAATCCAGGCTGCCTTACATGCCTTCAATGACCAGTTCAAATTACTCACCCAAAAAAGGCACAAGAGGACGTATAGACTTTCTTAAGATGGAATATTACAAACATTCAATCCAAAACACAGGGCTGCCACTAGATGGCTGCCCAGAGCTAAATCATGTATCGAGGGTCCCACCACCTTGCACTTAAAGGGCTTGACAGGCAGGTGGACGATCATGTGGGTCTTGAGCGTCTGCTTCTGGACGAAGGTCTTGAAGCAGACGTGGCACTGGTAGGGCCGCACGCTGGTGTGGATCAGCATGTGCCTCTTCAGGTTGGCGGAGAGCGTGAACTCGCGCGAGCACACGTCACATCGGAACTCTTTCATCCCCTGAGGAAGGAGACGAGACACAGAGACTAAACACACAGGCCGTTAAGTGATTCTGTACCAGGAGGGGGAGCCGCTGTGCCCTACAGCAAGGTACTGATGTTGATCCAGTGGATCCATGCAGCTGTATAAACCGGGAGTACTAAATAGGTCTACGTAAATACGTAAAATACACAATTTAAAAAAATATAACTATACATCTTAATACAAATCACCCTAATACAAAATTTGAACACATACACGTTTCCAGAATGCAACTCATATAAACTGCTCTGCAAAGTAAAACCCGCCGGCAAAAGTAATTGACATGACTCGATGGTGTAGGCAGTAAGCATCTTGCTACATCTAAAATGCACGAAGCACAGAGTGCAGGATCACGCCCCACACTGGTACTCTTAAGGAGCAGGAGATGGGTTGGCTTCTCTCCTCAGCAGCCTGTCACTGTAGCCCCACCTAGTGTTCGACTGGAAGGTTACAGGCATCAGCCAGGGAACGGAGCATGAGGACGAATGACGGTGGTCGCTAACCACAAACAAGGAACCGAGATATTCACCCAGCCGGGGCACAACATGCACATGTGGTCTGTGGGCTCAGATGCCGCACGGACTTCCACCCTGTCGTGCCATGTCCCGCATCTTTGGGTGGTCGTCCCGCCCCTCCCCACTGCCCCCTCCCCCCGGCAGGCCCATACCTTGTGCGTGAGTGCGTGTTGCTTGAGGTGGTGCACCTGGGCGAACTCCATGCCGCACTCGTGGCAGCCGAAGGGCCGGGCGTTCTGGTGCTTGGCCAGGTGGCTCTGCAGCTGGCTGCGGTAGGCAAAGGCCCTCCGGCAGTGCGGGCACTGGTGGGCAGCGGCCTCCTGGTGGGCGGCCCGGTGCCGCTTCAGGTGGGCGTGACTGGGCAGTTCCAGGCCGCACTCGGGGCAGACGTGGCGCCGGCCGCCGCCGTGCTTGGCCTCATGCGCCCGCAGCTCGCTGGGGTAAGCGAAGCCGCGCGCGCAGTAGCGGCAGCTGTATGGCTTGATGTCGCTGTGCTGCAGCATGTGACGCTTCAGGTGGCTGGTCTGGGTGAAGGCCCTCTGGCAGACGGCGCAGCGGTGCGGCCGCGCACCCTGGTGCGTCAGCAGGTGAGTCTGCAGGTGGCTCGGCTGCTTGAAGAGCTTGCCGCAGTGCGGGCAGCCGTGTGGCTTGACGCCGTTGTGGCCCAGGATGTGCGTCACCAGGTTGTACTTGGAGGTGTAGGACTTGTCGCACAGCCGGCACTTCCAGCGCCGGAGACCCTCGCCCACATCCACGCAGTACGACTCGTCGATCTGCACGTTCACATCTAGCCGGTCCATCTGGGGGCGCCGTGCCCGCTGGCCCTCGGCATCTTCCGCCTCGGCCCAGGTTGCCTCCCGTCCAGCCTCCTCCAAGCCCCCTGGGGTGGCAGCCTCATAGCCTACCTCCCCAGCCTCGAAGTAGTGGCTCGTTCTGGGGCTGTCCGCCTCCTCGCCCGGCTTGGGGGGGCTCTTGGGGCCCCCTTCAGTGTGCTCCGCCTCTGGCTCCTCACCCACCTTCTGCCTTCTCACCTCCCTCTGGCAGTCAGGGCAGCAGTTTCCGGGTGGCTCCTCCTTGGGGGTGACTCGGTAGGTGCTGGGGTCCACCAGCCGCACGCCCTCCCGAGGGACGTGGCCGCCAGGCACGTGCTCGCAGGAGGGTGAGGCATCCTCCACTGCCTCGTCCTTCACCTGAGTTACCACCTTAGGGGCCCCATCTGCGGGCCCTGTCAACTTGGCCCCGGCCTTCGTGCAGGATGTCCCTGGCCCGCTCCCTTCCTCCACCAGGTAGTCCCCGTTGGCCCCAATGAGTTGCTCACTGCACTCGAACCCGGTGCCCTCCTTTGCCTCGCCCGTGTAGAAGCCATTCGGTGCAATGGTGGCGCCGAACACATCGTTCTGGGAGATGAGGCCTAGTACGGCGGCCTGGGCCAGCGACAGCACCACCACTGGGTCCGTCTGCGTGGCTGCGTCCACCTGGCCGTCCATCGCCTCAGCACAGCATCGCACCTGCTGCCCTTTCTCTTCCTCCTGCAGAAACAGACACGTCGTCAGGACCGGCTCGCTCGTGACCCCCCAAACAAGCTTCAGAAACACCCACCAGGAATGCCACATTCCTCCAGCCAGGCCGTCCTACAGGAACCAACAAGTGTTTTTCTAAAATCACAGACACTGGTGAATGTGCATCTGTTGCCCATATACTTACAGCCCCCTCTGCTGGCCTAATAATAAAGAAAAAAAACTACTCTACAGCCCCCCCACATGCTAAACATCTCAATCTCGCGTGAATTTTCTCTTCCGGGACAGGCAGCTCGTCTGCTCCAGCCCAGCTCCAAAATCATAATTAACAGAGGGGCTGTCACTTCCCCCAGCGGCGGGGGGAGCAGACAGCGTGACAGCGCCTGACACCTATCACCCCTGAAGAAGGGGCTGAGCTGCCAGACACCGGACTGGGGTCTTTCAGCTGGGAGTCGCATGGCCGCCACACTCGTGCTGAGAGGGAGAGTGCAGGGCTAGAGAAGGGCCCGCTGGAGAGCCGGCTGGACTCCGACCCTGTGACACCGATCTCTGAAGGCCCAGAGAGGCCACAAGAGCACCCAGTTACCCCTGGCTGACACAAACTGTACGTACGCAAAGACTTTTGGGAGAAATCGAGGAGACAGCTGAGTCAAAGGACAGAGACTGCAGCTAAACATGGTGAGGCAGACACTGGTGCACAGGAGACTTGGGTGGGAGAGTCACAGACAGACAGAATGGCTGACTGACGGACTGACTGACTGACGGGACCAGCATTCCTAGATACTTCATATCATTCATGAGTGAATTTAACAGACACGGAATGACTGAGCGAAAGGAAAAAAAAAAGGAGAGAGAGAAAGGAAAGGGAGGCAGAGGGGGCAGGGAGGGAAAGAGAGGAGGGAGGGAAGGAGAGAGAGAGAGAGCAAGAGAGAGCAAAAGCATGTGAGCGAGTGAGAGACCGAGAGAGAAAGGAAGAAGGAGGGGGCAGGGAGGGTGAGAGGGGAGGGGAGGGAGGAAGGGAGAGAGAGAGAGAGAGAGAGAAAGAGAAAAACAGCAACAAAATGAAAGGCGGATAAAATGAAAAGACCAAAAGATAAATGGCAAAAAATACAGAGAAAAGGGTGACGGAAAGTGGGAAGAGGTAAAATTCTCAAAAGGAAAGACAAAAAAAATTAGACTAATGTTACGAGAGCAAATAAAAATGTCCAAAAGAAAGCAAAAGATCTGACAAAGGAGCAGAGAGAGAAACAGCACGTGAAAGTAGCCACAGTCACATCAGGAACAGACCCAGCGCAGCCCGCAGCCTCTTCACTCCCCGTGCAAAGAGAGGGAGAGCAAGCGAGGGTGAGAGGGAGAGAGAGCGCGAGAGAGAGAGCGTGCGCCGGCCCTTTAAGCAGGCAGGCGGGCGGGCAGCCGGCATCCTCGCACCTGGAAGAGAGCGGTAAACACAGCTACGGCCAAAGCAGCGCAAACTCACCACGCTGTCTCTGCTGCCCTGTTTCAGGTGTTTCAGGGATATCATCCTTCAGGAGAAATGGGCACTGCAAAAAAATCCAGCCCCTATTTATGTCAGTGGGTGAGGGGGGGAAGGGGGCGGTCCAAATAGCCCCGCCTCCCCCTACTGCTGCCGTTATCACTACTGACTGCACCGCTCCTTTCACACACAAAGTCTACGATCAAGCCCCCCCC